TGGGTGACACACTATGAGAAGCTCCAATTTCAATAAAAAAATTCACTTCAATTGCATAAATAATTAAAACCGAAAAACGAGTTGACTCGTCCGCATTAATTACGCCCGTAAAACATTTTGAAAATTCCACCTACGATTTTAAACGTGACAATCCCAAAAAATTTTCCCCCGAAATATCATCAACCAATTACATTAATTGGTAAATCAATCAATAACTCAGTATTAATATTTCAAAAATTCGAATTCACATGAGAAATTATTTTTTTTTCAAATGTAAATTCCAGAGTCGTTTTTTCATAAAATTTTTATCGTGATAAATAGGCATTCCTTGTTGTCGACAGCTTAAAAGTTTCGAGGTTGAACAGTGGAGGTACCGATCTTTTTGGTGAGCATGAGTTTATTTATAAAAACAGAAATAGAATAAGCTAATGAAATGATTTTTTCGCTCGTGGTTGAAAATAATTGGTGGAGATTATTGAATTGATTGCCATAGCTATTACTAGAGAATTTTCTGGGATGTGAATGCAGTCTCTAGTAATTCTCTAACCTCGAACATAATGGTTTTCATGCGATTTCGTTTTGTTATTGTTATTGCGGTTTTTTGTTGATCGGTTTACCGCGAAATATATTTATTGATAAAAAGAAAAATATATTTGTGTTAATCAGTTGAAAAAAATTATTAAGGGAGTATACACGATTAATTAATAAGTTTACTGTAACAATGAAACATTAAACAAACAATTCCAAGGATTGATTTATAAAAATCAATTGTTTAAACACTTTATATTTCCTACTAAATGTGATTAGAGTATCAGATTTTTCAAAAAATTTCTATTCGAGAGAGAAAAAATGGAATAAAAACTGAATTAAAATAATATTATTAAAATAATTCCTGACCACTGGGAGCCGAAGAAGTAAATCAGCTAAATATATTCCACCAGCCCTCTGCACGATGAAATGTTACTACGAAGTTCTCGGAGTTGTCCGAGATGCAAGCGACGACGACCTGAAGAAGTCCTACCGCAAGCTAGCCCTGAAATGGCACCCTGACAAGAACCTTGATACGCCAGTCGAGGCGAAAGAGCAGTTCCAACTTGTCCAACAAGCTTATGAAGTGCTGTCAGATCCACACGAGCGTTCGTGGTACGACAATCATCGAGAAGCGATCCTCAAAGGTGGAATCGGGGAGAACTACAAGGACGAGTCGATAGATCTCTTCCAGTACTTCTCCCCAAGCTGCTTCAAGGGTTACAACGATGACGAGAAAGGCTTCTACATGGTCTACAGACATGTCTTCGAGACCCTAGCAGCTGAAGACGCGGAATTCGCGAGGGACGGGGAATCCGACAATGAAGTTCCGAATTTTGGGGATTCCCAGAGTTCCTACGACGACGTGGTGCATCCATTTTACGCCTATTGGCAGAGCTACACGACCAGGCGATCGTTTGCATGGCTGGATCCATACGACATCCGTGAAACACCGAATAGAAGAGTTCTCCGTCTCGTCGAGAAGGAGAATAAAAAAGTACGGGACAAAGCGAAACGCGAGAGGAACGAGCAAGTGCGTAATCTCGTGGCGTTTATCCGAAAACGAGATAAAAGAGTTCAGGCGCATGCCCAGAGGCTCGCAGAGAGGGCGCTAGAAAATACGAAAAAAGCGAAAGAACGTCAGAGGCAGCAGCTCCTGGAGCGACAGCGGGAGCTGAAGGATCACAAGATTTCGGACTGGTCCAAGTTCTCGAATATCGAGTCCGAGTTGAAACACATCGAGGCTGATCTTGCTGCGGAGTTCGGTGAAGAGATCTCGGGGGATGAGGATGATGAGGACGAGGTCATTGACTCTAATGCACTGTACTGCGTGGCTTGTAACAAGATATTCAAGACTCAGAAGGCTTTTAGTAATCATGAGAATTCGAAGAAACACAGGGATAATGTTGTGACCATGAAGATTGCGATGGTCGAGGATGATGAGACATTTGCCTACAGCGATGATGGGGAGAAGAACTCTGATGGGGATGATTCCAAGGGTCAGGCGTGTGAGGGGGTGAATTCGGGGAAGGGAGCTCGGTTGGCGACTGGACCGGAAATGCCGGATTTTTTGATCAATCCTCGAAGCGTCAACGATGATGAAGACGATGGGAAAGCCTCTGACGGAGAGCTCGTATCGGATTCTGATGACGATGATAAGGAATCAATTAGAAATCGAAAGAAAAATACGAGGGAGTGCGTCGTTGAGCCGCAAATGGATACGAGTGGATATATTTTTCCGGGAAGCGAAGAGGTGAAGAGCGAAGAAGCCGATGCGTCTGAGGGTGAGTTGATATCAGATCAGGAAGACGAGGAAATGCTGGTGACAAGCAAAAAAAAGAAGAAGAAAGGAAAAACGATTAAGAGTCCGGTTGTTGATGGAAGTGATGAAGAGTTCGATCTTGATGTTGGGTTGTCCAAGAAGCAGAGAAGAAAGAGGCAGAACAGGGAGGATCTGTTGAAGAAGAGAGAAGAGAAAGCTGGTGAGGATCATGATGATGATGAAAAAAAAACTCAAGAGGTTGCACAGCCGACTCCTTCGGAAGGGAATTCTACACCGGCAGCGAGGACTAAAGGGAAGAAAGCGAAGGAATTGAGGAAGACGCAGAAACAAACGGACGTCAAAGTCAAAGCTGAACGGAGTAAAAAGGAAGGACAGCCTTCTGACGTTCCTGATGTCGAGCACTTTTGCGTGACCTGCAAATCAGAATTTTCAAGCAAAAATAAGTTATTCGATCATCTGAAGAAAACCGGGCACTCGGTTTACTTACCGTCATCTGTGAAGTCGAAGAAAAATAATGAGAAGAAGGGGAGGGCACGGGAGAGGGTCGATAGCGATAGCCAATGAGATTCTCGTTTTGTAAATAGATCGACATTGATTGGACAGGAGTGAGAAAGAGGTTATGATAATATATTGTAATCCATCATTAATGGATAGAAATAAATTGAATTTTTATTGGCACTTTAATGGTAATGATTTTCCCAGATTATTAAATTCAAGTATTGAATCTTTCAGGTCAAGATGATCAATACCATTCATGCAGCTACACATCACAGGTAAATAACATTGTAATACAGATTGAATTCTTCTGGATTTGGAAATCATGAGACGTATTGAAATTTGTATTCGTTTTGAGTTCAAGTGAGAAATTATTTCAGATCTGTCGCGACAGCTGCGCAGAAGCTAGTCTATCCAGCAGCAGATCGCAACAAGTATCCAATCCTGCAAGTGTTGAAGAGACTAATTGATCGAAGACCCAATCAGAAATTATTAGAAATAGCTTCGGGCTCAGGGCAACATATGGCCCACTTTGCCCCGGAGTTTCCACAAGTCACATTCCATCCCTCGGAATTTGACGTAAATCTTCTGGACAGCATTCTCGCTTACACCCAATACTTCGACAACGCCCGCGATCCCCTGCACATCGACATCACTCAGACCTGGAACACCTGGCCTGGTAAACACTTCAAAGAGAAAAGTTTGGATTACATCTACTGTGCCAATATGATCCACATCTCTCCCTTGAAGTGCACATTCGGTCTCTTTGAGAATGCCGGAGCTCTGCTCAAGCCTGAAGGATTGCTGATCACTTATGGTCCTTATGCTGTTGATGGAAAAATTACGCCTGAGAGCAATGTTAATTTTGATAAGTCCCTTCGATCGCAGGACCCTGATTGGGGCCTCAGGGACGTGGTAGATCTCAAGAAAATTGCACTCAAGTATGATATAACATTAGTGGAGATGATTGATATGCCGGCTAACAATATGATTCTCGCTTGGAAGAAAATGTGAAGGATCTTTTAAATTTTTTTGCAAAATATTTTTTTTTTTTCATATATCCTTTGTCTACGAAATTAATTTAACATATTTGATCATATTTTTTATATTATATCCTGCGTAGGGCTTATTCCATGTACGTTTATTGGGGAAATATGAAATCAATAAAATCGATTTAATCTTTACAGCTCCGCGGGGGAATCCCCTCTCTATTTTTTCCATTATCTTCATAATTTTATAGAAATATTAGAAGTTATTTCCGATTAAAAATTATCAGTTCCGATAAGGTTTTCTTCTCTCTATCTGTAAGAATTGCAATGATGAAGATTAGATAGCCGTCATTATTTGCGAGAGGTGGATCACAGCAATTTTCCTGAGGGAGAATGATCGCTTTCAAAATTTGGTTTTTCACGGTGGGAGTGATCGGTGTTATCCACAGTGATACAGAAATAAGATGTACACCTCAATTTTGTGCGGTAATTGAAATAAAGTTGTATTTTTCTGTTACAGTTATCTGACTCTTGTAATAAATTTCCAGTTTTATTTTAATTCGAAGGGTGACGGCAGAGAAATATTGTGTTCATTATCTATGAAAATGAAATATTGATTGTGGAATAGGATTATAAGGAGCGAACCGGTTGTCCAGAATTGAAAGAGGAATGCCTGATCATGAATGCAACTCATTATGGCACTTATCTCCCATATCCTGACCTTTGCAATTGCTGCGAATATTGTTTGGCGCACATTCTGGAGGGTGGATCCTGCACCACTGGCTCTCCGGGGACTTTACCACCTACAGAAATGTGTGGTCCAGGTTTATCCTGTGTTAGGAATCCTAATGGGCTGTCTACGTGTCAGAAAAGTGTGTCAATATTTTTTTTTCATTAATTCCAATTTCATGTGCATTTCATTAATTTATTGCGGAGTTCCAAAATTTCCAGTGACGGAAACGGAATGCACTAAGAGTCAGAAAAAATGGGATGAGGACAAGGCCGCAGGCAGCGTAGGATATCTTGAAGTGCGCCCCAAATGCGATAACGATGGATTATTCGCGTCTTCTCATTGCATTCCAGGATCTATGTAATTTTGATGAGATTTTTTCTATTATTTTTCCATGAACCTGTGAATATTAATTTATATGCAGATATATTCTCTTGAAATTCACCTGGAATTTCCAGATGCTATTGCGTCTCTCCAGAGGGAGAAAGGATATTCGGGGAGTCGGCGTTTTTGAATTCCTGGGATGAAACAAAAATGACTTGTGGTGATAAGAATGATATAACCCAAATTTTTAATTCCGCCAGCTTTTTTATGGCAGATGTATATTCTTCATCACAGGATGCTCCATAAATCACTGGAAAGCCCAAAAAACTATAGACATGTCACGTTGGGAGAAAGAAAAAATTCCGGTATTCACAGCTCGATGCACAGAACATGGACTATTCGACCAATTGCAGTGCATGTTGGGGAATCAAGCGGATTGCGCATGCGTCAATCCTATTGCGGGTAATCCGAATACTGAAGTGGAGACTGTAAAGGTGAAAGATATCAAGGAAGGATATCCTTCTTGTTGTGAGTGCAAAAGTATTTCAAAATTCGCTGCAAGTACCAATTTCTGCAATTTTTTTTATATAAAAAAAATAAACCCTGTTTTTCATCAGTTGACCCAAAAATACACATGCCTGGATCGTTCCTGACAGATTGCGAATTCATGAGAGGAATAGCTTCAGGATCACAGCTAGAAAAAAAACCTCTCTTCAACAATCCGATTTGCCAACCCGATGGGATGTTCCATCGGGTGCAGATCATGGGTTCAAAAAAAATTTGTGTCGACCCGTCAGGGATTCAAATCGATAATTATGCAGCAGATGTGGATAGCCTAGAAGCTAGCGTGATGCATTGCAGTGAGTTAATCATAATTTTTTATGAACAAAAATAATTTTTCAGGTCATTTCTTTATTTGAAATCTAGATTGTGCTAGGACTGTCTGGCTGCTTTCTCAAAATCGAGTCTCAGAATTACCAAAATGCTGTAGCTACGGTAATTTCGAGCGCTGGCAACATCGAAGAAGTCAATACTATTGTGTCGATGAAAATGGTGATCAGGTTGGGTTAGAAGAGGATACACTAGAAAAATTGAGTTGTTACAAGAATAGCAACGGACAGCCCTGTCCATTTCTTTATTGACACTCATACAATAATTCATATAATAATTCACTCAAATAATAATTCATTAAATAATTGTTAACAACTATGACAATAAATATTCTCGTAGCTTTTATGTACAATAATAAATGTCGTCTTTATATGTACACAGCTTTTCCACATGATGTAGTGTCCACTCTCCGTCGGTATTATCGGATTATCATGAGGCATATCGAGATGGAAATTATGATAAGATAATGATAACAAGTGACCTTGGGTCCAGAGCCTCCGTACCAGTGGGCAAAAAGAGCTGAAACCAGGGATTTTATAAATAATTATCTAAAAAATTGAAAAAAATTGAAAGTTTTATGATTCCGGCTGAATCACCTGTATCATCTTGATTCGTAATCCATCCAAGCACGGGTTCCATGACATTTTTTCGTTGCAGCCATTTATAAAGTGGATCGAAGTACCTCATTAATGCAGCAGCATCTATTCTATTTGTTCTTCCACGTGTCATTTCTCTGACAATGTCCTGCCAAGGCCGTGAAGAGCCTTGCGAAAGAAGATCACTATGAAAAATAAACAAAAAACATAATCATTCGAGATTAATCCAATTATTACTTCGTAAATTTCAGAACTCACGAGAGTAATCGTCCTGCCTCTCTAGATCGATACAGATCACATAAATGTAAATCACCGTTATGTCCAGAAATATCACAAAGGGATTCGTACAATTGGAATTGCATGACTGATCCAACGAAATATCTGAAAATCGACGTTGAAATTGGTTTTAGCCTTTCGATTCTTGGATGAATAATTGAATACTGAAGGAAAAATGGATTATTTGAGTTACTTAGCGTAAGGAATATCAGCTGGGATATGATATTTCGATGCAGGATCGAAATCCCTTTCGATCCTCGCAATGGGGGGTACAACCCCCTGGTACTGAAGCCTCAACTCCCACCACCGAGTCGTCATATCCGTAACGCCTTCACTGAATACTCTCCATCGCCACTGCAAATGAATCCTCCATCAGCTCATCATGAAAATATGAATAATCATCTCAAAATTGAATAGAAAAATATTTTTTTCCATCTTTTCATGCACCCTGAGCTGAGAAAATGATTATTCACACAAAAAAAAAATTCGTTTCTCCTATGATTCTTTTAACTTTTCATTTGTGATGCTTCCATTGTTCAATTTTCGTCCGAAGTATTTATACTCTGTCCAAAATTAATAATCCTGATATCAATCATTATAAAAGATGAAAAATAATCATTGGAAATGAAAAATGGCGCATGCACCTGATCAACGATGTAAGCAAATGGCAGATACGCCACTTTGCGCAAAGCCATGAGCATCAGGAAGTTGATATTGCTTTCGTAATCCTCGGTGGAATTATTATAGAGCCCGATTCTCTGCAAATGCCTCGGATTCATGACAGACAGCTCCACAGCATCACTGACTGCCTCATGGAATCCAGGTAGAGCTTCATTTCGAAAAATCAGAGGTTGATCTTTGTACTGTTGATAATATTCGATGTGCGCCATCTCATGGTGGGTTGATAATAGATCCTCCATTGTAACCCTCGTACACTGTTTAATTCTGAATCACATGTTGAATTATGGGGATGAGAACAATGAATAAATTATAAAAGACTGAGAAAACCACCTGTAATCAATTCGATTGCAAAAATCCCAAGCACTCGGTGTACATTTAACGTCTCGATCGATTGGTTTTTCGAACATTGAGTATCTCCAGAATTCCGGGGGCATCGGCTTCATCCCGAGGGATGTGAAAAATTCTTCTGCGGTTTGAAACATTCTGGGGAAAAAAA